GATGTTCCTCGTATCGACAAAATCAAAGGTAACCAGATCCCCAAAAGCTTTGAGCTTTCTCTTGAACGCTCCTCGATGCGTCTTGAAGTGTTTCATCTTTGCTCTGATGCATGACTCACAGTAGGGATTCTTGTAACGGTGTGTGAGTAGATGTTCGATTTTCCTGGCATCTGCTTTCAGAGTTCCTCTTCTCACCATTCTGCTTGCACCGTCAACAATATCCACCTCGATGTCATCTGCATCATCATCGTCAGCTTCTGGTTCACTTTCTCCGGCGACATCTGATCCTACCTCATCTTCTTCTCCAGGAGATGCCTTGAACTTCTTATTCCTCTTTCGTCTTTTGACTTTTGGAGGCTCAATCACAGGGAGGTCGTCATCATCACACATGACGCCTTGAGGATCCACATCACAGTTGATGAAAGCCGATTGGTAATCAGCTTCACCTTCTCCTAGGGTGAACCTTGCGATCATCTCCGCCCTTACATCGTCGGTGGGGTTACAGAAGTCACTGCCCTTGACAATATATGGGATGTTTCCCTCTACTTCTAACATGATTTTCTTGTAGTTCGGGGAAACCATGTACGGGTTGCCGCAGGCTGGCCATATGAATGTGTAACCTTCCTCCATGCATTTCTTTCCAACAGACAGTACTGAAGGAGACTCATCTAAGACGAATGGGGAGTAGGTAGAGTCAAATTCGTCGAAATGAATGTCGGCGACTCCCTTTGTGGATGTCACTCCATTTGCGGTATAGAATGACATTGATTGGTCGCTTTCTCTCACTTCCAGACCTAATTTCTTGGCTCTGCCTTTCGATATCAAATCATACCCACATCCTGTGTCCATGATGAACTTTGTTCTTGACCCTTTGGCTGGAATAGACAATGTCTTTGTGTCTGCATGATCTTTCTTTCCCTCGCATACACGAGGAATGACTTTATGATGGAAAACTAGGCCGTCATCTTCGTCAAAAGACATAGTGACCGCTAGGTCACCCTTTGGTCCAACTGGTATTCGGACCCTCTTGATCTCAGTGTAGGGGACCATCAATATGCCTCTTGCCTCTGCGACCTTTTCTTCAAATCTGATTTGTTCTTTCCTCGTGTAGCAGGTGAGCTCTTTCTCATCGTATCGTTTGATGTCTGCACGTAGAGGTTTCCTTTCTACTACCTTCCATTTGTTCCTGACTGAGTAGATCGCTTCGTTCAACATGATCTCACAAGTCTCTTCATCAAAGGATACTTTTGCACCTCCTTCTCTTGCCTTGGCGGATGCAGCAATCCCTTCATCTTCGGATTCGTCCATGAAGAGTTCACCGTCAATGGCTGGGGCTCCAGGCTTCGCCTTAGGCTTCGGTTTGGGTTTTGCCTTGGGCTTTGGCCTATCGTCTCCTGAGTCAGCTGGTGCAGATATCCCTTTCTTAGGAGAGGCTTTTGGGTCATGGTAGAACTTGCAATCCTTCCCTTTGTCACAAGTTCCTCGAATCCACATCCAACATACTGGCTTGTCATTCTTTCCGACAGAAGATCCTCTGGATGGTGATCTGGGTTTCTTGTGACTGAATGGGCAATCTTTCCCCATAGTGCAGTTACCTTTCACGAAGTATTTGCATGGTATCTTCTTCTTGTCTGTACTCGGACTTCGGCTGCGATCCTTTCCATCACCTTTACCTTTCCCCTTTCCCTTTTTGTTCTTGTCTTCAGGATGCTTCTTGGGATTGGGTTTCGGCTTCACTGCAGCAGCGTCTTCTGAGACAACCTGTTCTTGTTGCCCTTTTGGTTTCTTCTTCGGATCAGCTGGTGCAGCTTTCAGTTTTGGAGCAGGTCCGCCTGGTTTGAGATTCTGAAAGATATTGGCCACATTCTTCACTGCCTTCTCCTTTTCCAGGATCATCCTGTCTTCAGTTTGCCGTTCGATGTGCCTTCTGATCATATCACGTAGATGTTTGTATGTCTTCTTGGCATCATCGTCGTTCATGCTGTTGTAGGCGCTGATGTCGTATGCCATGAGGTTTGAGTTCCTGATCTTTCTCCATAGGAGATCCCGAAGAGTTTCGTCGCTCGGGACGTCAACGGGCTTCATTCCTGCCAGAATCTCATCCCAAGTGTGGAAGAACAACGATAAGTTCTTGTCTCCTTGATATTCTAGTTGGTAGAGGTGCATTGAAGTATATAAGACTTCCACATTTGATGTTGTCTTGAAATTCATAAGGATCAGGGCTAGGACCTCTCTTCCCTTTATGAGGCTTGATGTTCTCCCTTTTGCATTGATCCTCGTCCTCAACTTCATAGCTACACCTGAACCATCATCTTTCGCATCCATGACGACCTTGGTAAGAGCTAGGCCGAGTTTGGCATCGATTGAATGGAATCTTTGGTCTCCTGAGTCGACAAACTTGTCCGGATCAGGATCGTCCATGGCTTCTTTGATCCAGTCGATCCAGGGCTCTTGATCTGAATCATTGGCCGCAATGATGATCGATTGAATGAGATTTGCCTTCCATAGTCCAAGATCATTGATCCTGGGCCATGACGGAACGTTTATCTTTGATTCTTCCTTCCTCGATACTTTCATGATTGTAGAGGTTGCCGGTGCAAGATGGGATGAAGAGGATGCTTCTGCTTCTGAAATCTTGTCCCTCAATGATTTGTTCGCCTCGGATAGCTCAATTGATTTCTCCCTTTCCTCGGCGTACTCATTGTGGGTTTCGGCATACCATTCATACATCTCATCTCGGCTCTCTGTCATTTCATTGTACCCGTCCTTGTAGTGCTTCGCCTCCTCTTTTGCGTTCCGAACCTCATCTTCCTCGGACGCGTGGGTTGGTAACCCGCGGTCTCTGGAACTAGGACGCTTGCTGTACCGAGAGACTATGGGTGCCATTCGTGCTTCTGCTTTTAATTTCGCATTTTCCATAATGACATTCTTTGTCTCCTTCTGGCTTTCCAATAGTGCATTCTCCAGTTCTCTGATCTTCTGTTGAATTTCAGCACCATCATCGCCGAACATAGGAGCTCTCATCATATTCTCTCTTTTCAGCTGTGCGTTGGCTTCGGATAGAGCGAGGTTGGCGTCTTTCAACTGTTGTCGTTCACGGATGGAACCTTCTAGGACTTCGTTGTTGAATATTTCTCCTTTTGCGATAACCTCCTTTGCGACGTTTGCTTCGTATTCATGGTGGCTCGCCTTCATTTCTGCCATTTCTTTAGCAGAGACTTCAGTCTGGCATACAAATATCTCCATCCTCATGCCCACTTCCATCTCTTCTATCTCCGCTCTCGCGTTGAGTTCAGCTCCACGTGCCATAGCTAGTTGACCTCGTAGATGATCAATAACCATAGCTTCCTGATTGCTCTGATCTTGAGATGAGTGAACACTGTGTTGAAGACGTCTTTCCCTGACCTCACTGTTCCATTGTTCTTCTCTCTGGTGTTGGATCACCTCGTGCATGTTGACATTCTCATCCTGTAGCGCAATCATTCTAGCTTGTATCTGGTCAGCTATTCCGACGAAGGCTGTGTTCTCATCCTGAATGGCTTTTGATCTTCTATTGATCGCCAATGAAGATTCATTCTGTTCTTGGATGTGTCCAATTGCTGCTTGTAGCTCTTGGGACATTCTGTCCTTCGTTGCTTTCACAGATTCAAGCTCTGAATGTTCTTGATGAGTTTCTTGTGCAAGCTCTTGATATCTCATGTAGATATGTTCAGCTGTCGATTCCGCCAAGCGTAGCTTGTGTTCGAGCTCTTCAATTCTTATTGTCGCTCCTTCATCTTCCTGTGTCATCTCTTGTAGATGTTCCTGCATCTTCCTGTTGTAGTCAGACATTTGCCTGAACTCCACTTCAGCCTCGTGGTGTAGTCGTGAGTATCCGGCTTGGATGCATTCATATTCTTCATGAAGAAAATTGTATGCGTTTCTCGCCGATCTCAATTCTTCACCCAGCTGAATCTCTCTTCTTTGCTCTTTTGTTCCTCTATCATCGTCACGTCTCTTCTCTATACTCCTTCTTGGGGATCTCGCGGTAGACGTTATAGGCGATGTAGATCTTGTTGTAGCTCTCATCGATCTTCTTGGTCCTACGGGTGCAAGATCGGTCAGATTCCGAGCCGGTGGCACGGATCTTTCCGAGATTTGTGATCCAGTAGGCATAGTGATAACGTCAGCATTTGCTGATGAATCAGTACCCATTGTAGAGTCTGGTGACGAAATGGTGTTGGGACCACCAGGAGCAGCGAATGAATAGGGTTCGCTTCCATTTCCTCCTGAGCTTGACATTGCAGGTTTCTGTAATGACTAGTCTTGTTCTTGGTCTCGTGTAGCTCGTACGGCTATAAAGAGCGCGTACGGCTGATAACCTGCGAGTGGATCTTAATCAGCGAAGTTTGAAGCTATCACTGACGATCCATAAGCGGCGTAGCGTCGGAACGGAAACCGCACCTTTTCTAGTCGCTTGATCCTTGAGCCAAAGTACATATGGTACATATATATGTACAAGTTGCACTGTATGTGTCGCTGCACTTCCATTCGCAATATAAATACTAGAACACACAACTGGACAACAAGAAGCGCAACTTCTGCGTGTTGCCAAGAGAAAACAAACAAACCTCTTGCCTCCACTTGCAAAAAGATCGGGAAGTGACAATCTCTAAAGTGGCAGACCTTGTCGCTCAAAGCATCAAAACGGGGAACAGCAACCTTTCCCGTACAACGCAGCTTGTCCTTTTCATCAGTCAAAGAGAATCCCCAAGACTTCTAGCCGAAAGAGACTGGAATATGATTTGGAGAAGGGTTGGTCTCCAGGGCTGCTCTTCTCTGTCCAATTGCCAAGGCAAACTGTGCGTCTGAATGAAGCAAGTGCGTAAATGACGACAAGAATGACAACCTTTTGACAACCATGTGACCATGACAACAACAAATGCCATGTCGTTGTCATTTGTCATGGCACGTCGTGGTCTCCCCAATGCCACCCCCATCGACCATCGCCGTCAAGGCACGTTCAAGGCCCTCGACGTCGGCCACCGTCTCCTCGTCGGCCAGGGCGTGTTCGCCGGTGGCCACCTCGCCGCAAGACAGTGCTGCGCGAGTTGCAGTGATGCCATGGGTTCTTGTTGGAAGCGTATCAAAGATGAGTTGTCTTGGGCAGAGTATGGTAGTTGTTTTGCTTGTTTGCATTCTTGTCATAAACTCACCAACACTAGAGCTGGGCAGGGAATTGACCTCAGCCAATACGTGGACCTTGGAGATTGAGGTACCCCGGTCTGTCTACTCCAAGTAACCAATGGACCAACAAGGACCTGCAGACGTGCTATTTCTCCTTTTACAGTAGCGTCATTGCTCCTGGTAGCGATGCCCTATTGATGCCCTTTGTTACTAGTGGCGATGCCCCTGCTACTAGTAGCTTCTTGTTACTAGTAGTAAGGCCAGGAGCTACTAGTAGCGTCCTTGCCACTAGTCGCGATGCCATTTGTTCCTAGTAGCTTCTTGTACCTATAAGCTAGGTGTGTATTCCATCGTTGAGACATGCCTCTCCATGCCCCGATATGCCGACATTTCCAACAAGAGTTCTGCAAGAGCCTTCTTTCAGCATTGGGCGCACTTGATGAGTCGCCAAAGGCAAAGGACCAAAAGGCGACCCCCGTCGCACCAAAAGGTAGCAACACTGCATGTATGGACCGCATCGCTATATGTCACTATGGACTATATATATAATATAAACCTACATTGATCTCTGAAAGCATCCCAACGCATGTAAATACTCCATGAAAGCGTTTGGGCCATCGTCTGCTGACTTAGCTGAGCGACCACTTCCGCCACATCTCCCACTTGCATTCCTAGCACCGGCTCCACCGAGCAAAACACGATGGCTCCACGGAGCGCCACATGGGTCTCCCGGCGAAGGACGTGCAACATTTCTTCCATTGATAGCCATCAAATATGGAGGTGGATCAAAAACAGGACACCCTGGTTGACCACCGAAATGAACAGACTACCAGGGACCAGGGAAGTCAACCTACCAGGGTCTGGGGCTGGTATTGAGCGTGGCGCGTGTCTGGGGTTATCACCTTCTGGTTTCATGGTTCCCTTTCAAGACGAGAGTGGATGGAGTTGTTCCGGTTGAACGGAACATGAGGCTGAAGACCGGATCCCCCCACGGAAGGTTCCGGTGCCGGACTCCCCCCCGGATCGGCCCGGATCGGTGGGAACGGGGTCTGTACCACCGGGCGAATGGAGCATCCCAAAGGCCTATTGAGCGAATGTTCCACAAAGGCGAATCCTTTGTACACTCTAGCCTCTAGCCCTTTGATACAACATCTGCCAAAACCAAGATTTCCTCGTCGACTTGACGTCAGTTGAAGCAAGATGGGTGTGCAAAAGCCCTCAGTCTTCATGTACCTCCACGTCACAGGCATCCCTTCTCCGGGGTGACCTACCTACTTCGGCAACACGTCTTTCGACGTGGGCGCTGTTTGTGGAGTACTGACCACCCACCCACCACCGACCATCCACCCAACCGCCGCAGCTGGGCGGCGTTTGGCCACCACCTCCAAGGCCCAGGGCAGCCGCTCGCTGCCCAGCTCCGCCTGCGCAGCTCCGCCCAGACAGCTTTTTCGCTTCGTTGAACGCGGTCACGGCCTCCTTGCATACGTATGGTTTCATGCAGAAGTGAAGAGAGGAACCATGCCCTCGAAATGAGACTGAGACTTTAAGTCTTTAAGTGATCAGTTTTTAGCAACCTAGCTGTGTTGGAGGAAATGCCCAAACAAGCCCAACAGGGCAGGGTTCGTGTTTCGCCTTATGATCCCGTTTGAAGGGGTCGGTACCAAAAGCCCAAGTACCCCAAAAACTCCTCAAAGGACCGCTGCAAATGTCCATGAAATGCACACTTCGACAAACTATTTTAATTGACGACCTCCGGTGTAAACTTGCACCGGTGTAAACTTGCATGGACAAACACCATGTTGCTTACAAACTACAAAAAAATACAAAACATATCAAAACATGTTGTTTCACAACTCTTTCTTGTGAGTAACATCATCATCTGGGCGCCCGCCTCTTCCAGTGGATCTCCCTCCTGTGTACGATAGCCAATGCTGCACCCGTCCCCTGAACCGCACAAAACTCCACGGTCGCTTACGGGCGAAGTGCTTACATGGGAGGCGTCTTTTAAATGGAATTCTGCAAATGATTTGCACTTCTTATCGTTGCTTCCTACTTGTTCAATAGACTTTGCACATATTGACAAGGTGGGCTGTGACGCAGGTCTATTGGTTTCACCTCATGGAAACATGTTGGCTGAAATCTTTACTCTTTACAAGTGGCTGACCACATTTATGCTTACTGTATCAGCCCACGAGTAAATTCCACATCTGGGTGTGTGCGTGTCTATGTGTGTTTTAATTGAGCCCCACAAACATCCCTCCTGATAGGACATGGACATAGAAATGATACAGTATTTACATACTCCCTGGGGAAGCCCTCATTGTGAGATTGATTATATACACACAAATTTCCTTCCCTCCACATGGTACAGGGTGATGCCGGTCTATAGTCCTCGTTTTGTTCGTGGGAAGATGGATTTTAGTTTGGACCCTTTGTTGGCATATAGGCGAGTGACACTGAAGACCCACCGGTGCTGAAAAATGGCACAAAATGGCAATCCGAACTTTGGTCAACACCGTGAAAACGACGTTTGCTTGGTGGCTCTATTGCCATTTTGTCATCGTAATCAAGGCATATCCACTATCCACGAGACCCATCGAGATCCCCTACCCTTCCTCCAACAACCATGGAAGCCACCCCTGTTTGTAGAACCAGTGACTGGCAAAGTGCTCTTTCCCAAGATCACGCCATCCACGAGCCACCAGGGGAACCTCCCCGCCTCCCACCCCTCTGCCCTGCGGCCTATGCGGCCTCCTCGCTCGGGTGACCTCAGGTCTGAAGGTCCGAAGCGTGGCACGGTGCGGAGCGGTGGGGTCTGTGTGTGCCTGTGCCCTCCCCTTGCGAGTCAAAGCGCAGATCATGGCGGATACTAGATGCTTACAGGTTCTCCAAGTGGGAATTGCTGTTCCCTCTGTTTCCTATGTGCCATCCCAATGAGAATCTCATGAGATGTCTCAAGGTGTTTCGAGGAATGATTCAGGTGTAGGGCACAGCATGAGTCGGCATGTTTTGTGCATTCAGTTTTGATTCGACTTGTGACCGATACCCACTTCAATTTGGTGCAGGGGCCCTGGTCAAGTTAAAGTTATTCTGACGAAAGTACTTCAACTGCGTTGTCACCATCAAGCGACTGTATATAAAGCATAGTGTTTTCCCAGAACATTGACGGTCAAATGGCAATGATCTCAGATTCCATTATCGTTCTTGGCGCAAGTCGATAGACTTGGCATGTTCGCTATCCTTGCTCAAACATTCACCACCCAAAGGCCATAATTACTCTAAGCATGCCTGTTCATTCTAAGGCTCAAATTCGTCTCCACCAGTCTGGTCCTTCGTCTCTTTTGTCGTCCCCACCTTTTCAAGCTCCGCATCCGCACAGCGCCATCACACAGCACGGTGCCAGTCTCTTCGCTCGCTTCCCCCGCGAGCGGAGCGACCGCGGGTTCCGCGGGAGCCTGTGAGTGGCGGAGGGCGGTGTTTGTTTGCCGTGGCAGCGGGAGGAGTGGGAGGAGTGGGAACTGTTCTGCGCCAAAGCCAGCGGGGGAGGTTGTTTGACCGGGTTCCATTCTGGTTTTGGGGGGGGGCCCAAGTCGGCCCTAGTCTCCGTCGCTTTGGAGGGCTTTGGAGGGTTGACCAGAACCCCACCTCTGACCTTGGCAGCGTGGCCAAAGGAGTTCAATAGTGCTTTCAAACGAACATTACTAAAGAACCCAAGAAGAAATCTCCAAAAGCTGGGCATGAATCCACGTGTTGTGTCTTTGCCAGACACTGCTGTCCTGAAACCTGCGGGGCCTTTTCAATGTGCCACGCCTGTGCCCATATGTCTTCCAACGCTGCAACAAGCAAGAACTGGGGGACCTGCTCCAGAATAACCCGCCTTGGAGCCTCCCATGACAGCATCACCCGAACGCCAGCAAGCATCTCAGCGTGACAATGCGTCAGCATGTTAGTGTGTAAGCACGTGTACGCACGTGGTAAGCACGTGACAATACGTCAGCTATCATGTGTAAGCACGTCAGCATGATAGCCTGACCAACATGACACCATGTCAGCAATTGGCGTGACCAGACCTCAGCCTGTCAGCATGACAACATGCTAGCATGCCAGAGGAGACAGCGTGTCAGCATGACAGCATGTTTGTAAGGTAGCATGGCAGAACGACGACATGGTTTAATGTTGCCGTGAGAGCGCACACCATACGAGCATGGTAGTGTGGTGGCATGCCAGCATGACAACATGCTAGCATGATGACATGTCAGCATTGCGCATGACAGAGTGTCAGCACATGTCAGAACAATAACATTTCAGCATATCTGCAAATCTGCTGCGAAGCTTACTCCAGAGCCTGCTCTGGAATCTCTTCGGAACCTGCTCCGGAATTCCAATCTGCTCCAAAGTCTTTGCTGCTATGGCTGAAGACCCCTAATCTTCCGTGTTGAGTAAAAACACCTTCCTTCTTGTTCCGGCACTTCCTGCTCCTTCCAGCAAAAACTCCGTTTGTGGCCTCTAAGTCCGGATGTCTTGGAACCCAAAGAGAGGTTTCTTATGATATGTCAAGGGACGGAGTGTTCCTTTCTTGCTGTGGATGGACCCGGGGGAACACGTTCCTTCCGATACCCAAACACATGTCCTGAGGAACAGGACCATCGGCAGAAGCGATGTCCGTTGTTGCCTGGACTTCCCGAGACCGACCTCATTCCGTGGTTGGCGGGTCAAGCAACGGTTCTGTGCTCATTCTGTACTGGGACAATCGTCATCTGAAATGGTGTCGGGAATACTCATGGTGAATCAATCCATGGATGCGTCAATCACCCACATCTGAGTGACGAAACAGATACTATCAAGGCAGTAAATATAGTAAAAAAGCGAACCATAACGCCCTCCCCCGTTGCCTGAGTCCCTCATCTACATGTTTGTCTTGCGTCCCGCCTTCTCTGCCTCCACTACAGGCGCCTGAAACGGCCCATAAGACACCCAGGGACGCAAGATCCATTAGGAGCAAATAGCTACTAGTATCAAGGGCATCGCCAGAAGGTAGCAAGACCGCTACCAGTAGCTCCTGGCATTACTATTAGTCACAAGAAAGTAGGAACATAGGGCATCGCTACTAGTAACAAAGGGCACTACTACTAGGAGTTCCTTTGAAGAGATCCCGAAGATCCGTCGAACGGCTTCGAATCCAACATCTTTCAGGCCCGGCCATCCCTTTTTGAGGGCAACAAGCGTTATAGGTTATTATGTTTGCTTGGTGAATGAGATTGAAACAAAAAGGTCTAAATGTCTAGGTGCATGGACAGACCAAGCCCAACTATCACAGGCCAATCTTATCAATATGTTGAACACAAGATATTGATGCTCAAAGGTTGCTTTTCAACCCAAACTATTGATCTTCCAAGTGTTGTTTCATTCAACCCATACATCCTGCAGAAAAATGAATGCCTGTAGAGGGTATATGTATCTGATGAAATGTTTATCGTGTGTAGCAATTTGTCGGCCAAAGCCTGGAAAAGCAGCCACTTAGACATGGAGGCCACAATGGATGGATGGACCTACAACCAGTGGCTCTGGTCTGGTTCTCAACTGCCAGATAGCTGCTGGGCTGGATGGTTGGACAATTAAAGATCAATAGATCAATCCATATGCAACAATCCAACACCACTGAGGTTTGCCCGGAACAATGATGCAAAGCTCAAGCAACTATCGAGAACTTATTGTGTGGAGAGGCCATGTTTTGACCCACACCACACCAATGAAAACCCCTGACTGACCAAACCAAAGTCTTAGTCTTAGGCCGCCTCTTGGCATACCTTTATCAAGAAAAGTGGTTGGTACCTCCTGTAGCGGTACTACCACTATGGGGGCCTCTCCCGATACAGTGGTATATAAACCAGGTATATAACAGGACTCAGTGGGAGCAGTATGGAAGTTTATCCCCAATGCATTTCAGCTAAAACTAAAACAACTCCAGCCTGCAGGTACCCTGAGCTTTCGTGTTTGCTTGATCATGTCAAACAAATGATGGATCCCCACATCCAGATCAACGTGCCTCCTCAGTCACGTCTCCACCAGTTTCCAGCAGACGTTGCAAGTCATCACCCGACAGCATGGCCGGCCGATTCGCACGTGGCACGGGGCGTTGGCTGGGACCCTTGTGTACCCAGAACCAAGAAACTGGATGGTCCTAGGCCTAGGGATACCAACCTTACCATGGTTTTTGATTCCTAGGACGATCCAATGTCGAACCCAATCACCAGCATGACGATGCGAAAACCTGATCTGACTGTGGCACCCAACACCAATCAAAAAACACGGTCAAACAACTGTCTCTCATCTTGGGGAGATCCCCCCAACCTGCATGTCACTTGGTCTTGCTGCAAAATCTGCGCATGTCACTTGGGGCCAATCCTTTCCCAAGACCAAAACGCCTGTGAGACCGTCGCACAGCGATCGCATGTCACTCGGGTGTGGTCTAGCGTCAGAACCAATGGCTCGGAGGAAATCATGCTGTGCAGTAGTTTTGGGGACCAGTGGATGGGGAAGTGCAGCTATCTGCAGTTTCATAAAGCGTGAAGTGTCAGACATATCAGATTTGGGGATGCGTTTGCTGCTTCTCTTCCATCATGTCTTGTGCTCAACTAGCCAAAAGCTTCCGGAAAGGCGTGCGGTCCATATGTCCGTTCCAGAACACCTCCTTTCCGTCGTGACGTGCAAAAAGGAGGAGAGAAGGGGTCTAGAAAGGACCTGGACTATGTTATAATGTGGTGTTCAATTTGCTTGGGCATCTTTTGGTGTACAATGGCTACCCCTAGACATTGCTTGGCATACCCTCGCATTGCAGGCTGGCGCTTTCTGAAAGGAACAGTACGGCCTATGCGATCATGAACACACTCTATCCTTGAACCAACAAAACAACAAGTTAAGTTGTGGGCCTGAAGCCTAGAGCTTACTTTCTCAGTGACAAAGAAAAAGGGCCAACGCTGTGCAAACGCTGCATTTTCAGGTTGCCCTCTGAAGGACATTGGACAATTGAGTAGAAACTAGCACAAAACAAATGGAGCAATACAGCAAAACAAGAAAATGTCCCAATGTGGTGGTCGTCCGCAATTGTCTCAGGTGCTGTTTGTGGGAGGCTTAGTCTTGCTGAATTTGGGTGTGGATAAAAGCCCTCTGCCTTGTTTCTATAGATGAATAGAATAAGAAAACATGGTGCAACTAGGATGGTTCTACAAAAGTGATTTCCTTCAGGCCCCAGATCAAAACTTGGGACCGATGACCGTGCTTGACTTCATGGAGCTCCGACTTCATGGGAACGACCGAGACCATCGGTGAAACCCGAACGACACAGGTGTCTCCTTGCTCTCGCAGTTGCGAAACCCAAGCAGAGAAAAGCAAACCTGACCCACATGAAGAAACTTCAGAGGAATAATATGACCTGTGGCGGAGCAACATCTGTGTCGAGAGTTCTTCAACGAAAAGCAACTCTCAAACAGAAGACAAAATCAGAGTGAATCCCCCCACAACCCAGGGGGACTTCAACACAGGCTTCCTGGTTTACCTGGTTTATCCAGGTCAAACCATTTGGGCCGGATGAAGTGGCAAACAACACTGAATAATAGTACAGTAACAGCAATTGTATAGTTCCATTTCTAGAGGTAGCAAAGATAGGAGACAGTGTCCATGTTTTTGTTACTCCTGAATGTCACAGGTAGAAAGACTGATGAATCACCCATGACTCCATACTACCTCAGAGTTCCAGAGGGCATTGCACGAATGTTCAGGGCTCTCTCAAAGGGTGGTGCAGCATTCTTCCATCAGCTCAGTAGCACTCCCCAAACCCTGCACTTCCACCCTTTCCATGCTATAAGGTCATGGGGAGTAAACTACGCATGGATTAATGGATTGTCACTAATTAAGACCATTAGAATCATTCCAATCATTCCTGCTCAGGGCTCGCCCACTCAGGCCACTTAGGTGTGTTCCAGCCTCCACGAACACAAAGGTAAGAACTAGTATACGTATGGTGTCTGAGTCCCGACGAAGGATCGTCATAAATCTTTGGTTCTCATCATTCCTGAGGCTGTTAAGTGGTCTTTGTATTCATTGCTTTTGAGAACAAAACACTCTTGATCCTCATTTGAGTCCAATGCAAAAACACATATAAATATATATGCCCATGGATGGGTCATCGATGGTCACACCACTTTGTGGAACTGCCGTCTACCCCACGCCCTCTCCCGGCCTGCCGTGTCCGCCGCTTCAGAGGGATCGTGTAGGATCCTGCCGTGTCCGCAGCGACAAAGAGAGACAGCTCGGCAATTCCCTGGCGTTTGGTTGACAGCTGCTGGGCTGGCTGGGCTTGTGCAAACACCTGAGACCAGCACAAATTCACACACAAAGCTGGCTGTCCACATGGTCATCTACATGGTTCGAACCCCCACAAATGGTGGTGATTCACACGGTGGTAGATGGTTCTTGACTACACACGTTTGGGAGTCCAGTTACTTCGTCCAATTGACCCCAAAAGGCAATACTGAATTCTCAATCCCCTTACTAACAACGTTCTTGAGCAACTTTGCCACCGCTTTTCTTTCCAGATCGGTTCAGAGATGTTGAGAAGCTTTCCTCCAGTCACGCGATCGCAGCGGGCCTTCGGGACTGTCCGCTGCTTCAAGCTGGAAAGGACTGGGCTGGTGGCCTGGCGAAGTGCAGAGCCCCACGGGCAATGAAAAAGGACCAGGTGTTTTTCGGAGAAAAAAGGGTGTTGTAAATCACGGAAACCTGGTTCTTGACATCGCTACTAGGAACAAGTGCATCGCTACTAGGAACAAGAAGCTAGTAGAAACAATAAGTAAATAGGTTCTTGAAGGAACGGATGGCAAAAGGCAAAGTAGGGGCTCCTGGCCTTACTACTAGGAACACAAAGCTACTAGGGGCTCCTGGCATCGCTACTAGGAGCAAGGACGCTACTAGCGCTACTAGGTTCATGACAGTTCTGGTCTCTTCGTTTAATCGGATCCACCCGGTGCTAACGGCCAGATGATGGGTCAGGGTTTCCCACAATTCTACAGAGTGACGACCAGGTGTTGCAAGACCTCTCCTATCATGGGGGCCCAGTTTGTTTTCTGTATCATAAAGCTGACGAGGTGAGGATGTACTGTACAGTAATCCTTTGACTTTCCCTGCTTGGGGGAGCTAAAGGCACTCAGATCTATATAATCCACCCAAAGCTGCTGAAAAGGGAACCAGCTAGGCACCCACACTTGGCAGACCGCTATCTAGGCTTGTCCGATTTTCGTGTGCTCTGAGTTGTTGTTGAAAGTTGAAAGCCACGCTAGGATGCGCTCTGGCGCCCTGGCCAGCATCCACGCGCTGAAGGACCATTGGCATCATTGGCACCGGAACCACGTATCGTATGCCTTTGCGAGTGTCCAGTCTTCTATCCGGCCAGCTGCAGTGTATCCTGTGTATGTGTATACGGGTTATATCAACATTACTTGAATGAGTCACTTTAAACTTTACACAACCTTCAAAGCCGCTGTGTTCGCACCAGTCTGGTGTAGTAGCTTCCATTTCCACTTCAAATGTGATTTTTGGCTCTGGTATCTATCATGCTTTTAGGTTGGAGGCCATCGCTTCTAGGTAGGGGGGCACCATCAGGGGTTCTATAATGCTTTTGATCGTGGTCCTGGATGCCCCACGTCACGCTGGAGCATCGTGGGGTGGGAAGCCCTGCTTCATCCTGGGGCTCCGTAGGGTGAGCCAACAAGTGGAGTCATGAGCGGGCACCCAAATCCGAAGTGATTGTGACAACTACTACAATCCCTTCTAAGATAGCTTGCCCTGCTCAAAATGTTGAGCGCATGGATACCAAGAGTTTGGAAGACAAATCAGAGAAAATTGGGCAGTGGAGACGGTACTGGCAGGGGAGTTGCGAGAGAGGTCACTCTTCATCAGAAACCTCAAAACCATGCCTGAAGTACGAAACTTGCAGACCTTGCTCCTTGAGGCTTCGAATACATCTATCTATTGTAGTACGTTGAATGTATCCAAGTGCATGATTCTCGAAGCAAACCGAAGTTCAAAGTCCACCTTATCTATGCAAACGTTTGTCCCTTTGTCAAAACCCATGACATGCAAAAGGCTACCTACAGGCTACCCACTGGCAGGGTACGTCATGGCAACAGCCAGGTCTGGAACTCCTTCAAGTTCAGGGAGGTCAATCATGACATGCCCGGAGGTCCTCCCTGTGAATCTCACGTAGGATCCCAGGGGTCTCTTGAACACATGCACCTACTTCACTGGATTCCTGCATATCCATTGCCAATTGCGAATCCATTGCAACCGTTACGGCCCATGTCCCGGCCTGTTTGTTTCGCCACGCAGGCCTTGGGAGTTTGGGATCTGCGATCTGGTTGAACCAAACCGCCTTTCACCGCCGGAAGATCCGGAACATGTTGTTTTGGACAAAAGTTGGGCGCAGTTGGGATATGAATGTTACCCGGAGGACACTGCGACAATTTCAGTAGTCCCGATTTATCGAATGCCTCTAAAGCTGAGTTCCTGAAACAGAAGTAAACATAGGACATCTCCTTTGCTACCCTCAGCAGACAATTTCAGAATCGACTTGATGTAATGAATCTTGCCCTGTAACATCCTGTAACACAGGAACTCCGAATCTGTCACTTCTACCCCGGCTGTTTGGGTCCTGAGAAGATCACCAACCCTGTAAAGCGGCCAGACCCCAGGGCCCCAGCGACGAAGAGGTACGTTACTGGAAGTAAGGTCCATCTTGAAGCAGCAAGGCCTGCTGGATTGACACCATGCATGAGAAGCTGGGGTTGTCTGGGTGAGCATGTTTCCGCCCGTGACCACAACAGGCAGTTGCTTCAACAATTTCAGGGCTGCCCTCGTGAAATCTAACCACAATCAAGCTCCGCAAAAGCTCTCGATGTTCTCTCACTTCGCGCATGTTGATTGGGAAAGAAACTGTCAGGGCGATCGGCAGAACAAAGATGAATACTGAATACTGTAAGTTAAAATGACGTGTATGTTGCTGACCTCCCCAACATCCGATTACTAGACTACATACTCTTGGCAGGGCATATC